GGGCACAGGGGCCGTGGGGGCTGTGGGCACAGGGGCTGTGGGGGCTGTGGGGCACAGGGGCTGTGGGGGCTGTGGGGCACAGGGGCTGTGGGGGCTGCGGGGCGCCAGGCCCGCTCAGGCAAGGGGGGCAGGGACGAGGGCACACCTGCTTCAAGAAGTTGGTGGAGACCAGAGCGAAGCAGATGAGGAAGAGCAGCGCCCCCTTCCAGACTGTGTCCAGGTAGTACTCCAGCACAAAGACTGAAGGGGGCATCACCGGGGCATGAGAACCGGGAATGGCCCTCCCTCCCACCCCACCCCCCACCCCTGCACCCCTGCACCTCCAGGCTGCTGCTGCGTGAAGGGGTAGAAGCTGTTGCTCTTGAGCCGTTTGGCCAGGTGCCGCTCTGTGCAGAAGAATCCCAGAGCCCAGAGCTGGAAGCGCTTGCCACCAAAGGCTGTGGGCAGGCCGCTGACCTTGCCTTTGGGAACCTAGTCAGGCGAGGCGGTCAGCCTGGTGGCTCCCTGCTGCCCACGCCCACTGTGCTAAGTTGCCCTTGTACCTGGGAGAGTAAAGTGTCCAGGGCTGCAGGCCACAGAGGAGGAGCTCGTTCAGACAAAGACCGGGGAGGACACGGAGGCAGCGGAACAGGCAGGCAGTGTGAGTGGGTTCTAGAAGGTCTGTGCCAGGTTCTAGAAGGCTTTTCTGTTGACCATGCCTCCGTGACGGGGGTCACTTCCCAGCCAATCCCCCCCACTGACTACCCCCTGCACAGCTCGGCTGACAGTGCTCACCGAAGCGTAGGCAGCTGGACACGGAGCCCATACTGGAGAGCACTGCAGCCAGCGCCCCGCACGGCAAAGAGACTGGCAAGGGCTCCTGGCTCTCTGTCTCTTCCCCCTCCACACTCTCCAACAGCTGGGGACAGACCCAGAGCCCCAGACTCAACGCAGGGAGCAGGAATATTAGTGTGGGTTCCAGTGTGGGCCAGGCACCACCCCAGCCCCGCACACAGGACCACATATAAGTCCTAGAAACATTTTATTGTAACAAAGCGCTCAAATATGGAAAGCAGGGAAGGACACAGGGAGGTCTATCAGAAGCCTGGGCCAAGCTAGACCCCAGACTCAACACAGGGAGCAGGAATATTAGTGTGGGTTCCAGTGTGGGCCAGGCACCACCCCAGCCCCGCACACAGGACCACATACAAGTCCTAGAAACATTTTATTGTAACAAAGCGCTCAAATATGGAAAACAGGGAAGGACACAGGGAGGTCTATCAGAAGCCTGGGCCAAGCTAGCTAGCAGAGAGGGGGCTGGCGAGCAGCTGTTCCAGACACCACTGGACTTCGTCCAGGCCCCGGTAGACACGCTTCAGGCCCCTCGGGAGGCACCGGCAGGACTCCAGGTTGAGATACAACAGGCCAGGGCAGCTGCTGATCACAGAGCTGTGGGCAAGGCAGACCACAGGGAGGTGAATGGGGCCCCGAAGACCCAGGACGCTGGGGTCTCAGGGGAGCTGTCTGCCTGCCCTCCACTGAGCCTACACGGGCCCCAAGCCAGTACCCATGCACCCCCAAGGCCAACCCAAGCACGGGCAGGGTGGGTCCCCGCTCTTCTCTCTGACCCTGGAGGTGTGAGCAAGGCAGCCTATCCAGCGTGAGCCTGGAGCAGGGCATGAGCAGTACTGAGCCCAGGGGACGGGGGGACTGACCTGACCATGCCGGGGGTGACGCGGGTCCCCCTGAGGTTGAGGCGGCTCAGGGCCGGGAGCGCAGGGGCGCCAGAGAAAGCAGCCAGCGCCTGCTCCAGGTCTCTCTCACCGAACCCCTGGCCACTCAAGTCCAGTTCTCGGAGACTGTGATACCATTTCTGGGTCAACAGAGGGCTGCCCTCCTTGGCCACAGTCAGCCGGTCTGACATGCCGTACAGGCCCAGGTGCAGCTGCTCCAGCTCTGCCACGAGAGGAGGAGGTGTGAGCCAAAGGCAGGCAAGGACCCACGGCCTGGCCGCTCAGCCCCTCCCAGGAGCGCTGACCCTGACACGGGAGGTCACGCAGGCCCTCAGGCGTGATCCGGTCACAGCCTCGAAGATCAAGGAGGCGCAGACTGGGAGAGCCATGGAGCAGCCGGCCCAGGACCTCATTGCTCACAAAGGCACAGGTAGAACCAGCAAGGCAGAGCTCCTCTAGGCAGGGGAAGCCTGGACCCAGAGCCGGCCTGCGCCCCGAAGGCTTGGGCATCCACATCAGGTTTAGCAGCCGGAGCACCTGGGGGCAAAGCAAGACTACAGGTAGGGTGCGTGTGTGCGCGTGTGCATGTGTGCACGTGTGACAGAGACAGCCAGCCAGGTGGGAGGGCAGCGCAGCGCACCTGCAGCTGGGGGCAGGCTTTCTGCAGAGCCTCCACCGGCAGCTGCAGCGGAGTACTGTTGCGGTTGATGCCGGCGCTCACCTCCAGGACGTGGAGTTGGGGACAGCAGCTGCCCTGCAGAAGTACACACCAGGTCACCAGCTGGCTGCCTCCAGCTCAGCAGTGAGCTGTGCTCACGCCAGCGCCTCCTTACCAGCAGCGCGCCCACAATAGCTGTTGTCTGGGAGCTGTAGGTCAGCCACAGCTTGCGCATTCGGGGTCCCACTGCCTCCAGAAAGCTCACCACCGCTGTGGAGTCCACCTAGGGGCTTAGCACAGGGATGCCGGTCACCTTCGCCCGGGCTTGCTCAGGGCCTCGTGGGGTCTGGGGCTCACCATGGAATGCTGGAGGTCCAGGCTGTGGAGCTGCCGGCAGGACTTGGCCAGCATGAGCAGCGTGTCCGTGGTCACACCGTGGCAGTCTGAAAGCTTCAGGAAGGTCAGCCGGGGGCAGCACGCACTCACCAGCTGCGGGGGAGACAGAAGCCACGGAGGTGGGGAAGCAGGTGAGGGTGCTCGGGAGAGACGCTGGAGCTCTGTGCCACCCCGCTCCACCGCCACCCCCCTCCGCGCTCACCTGCGCTCCCTCGCACAAGCTAGACAGACCTCTGGCAACCCCTGCCAGGAGGCCAGAGCATTAGAGGAGGGCCCGCCGGGCCGGCAGGCTTTCCAGGGGAGCCGGTCTGAGGCCCCTCCCTGGACGCACTGGGTAACCCCAGGTGCAGAGCTGGTGTGCTCACCTTCAACACGGGCTGCACCTGAGACTTCCAGTGTATGAGCGTCAGCCGCTGGAGCAGCGAGAACCTGGACGACAGCGAGGCCTGGCTGCCCCGGCCGGTGCCGG